GGGGGGGGGGGGGGGGGGAACGAAAAAACGAAAAACGAAAACAGCTTGGAAGCTAGTACCAAGATGGCATTGTAGATAAACGGAAACAGTTCGGAAGCTACCGTCTTCACCCGAACAGAACGCCTAGTCATTATCGCTGTACCTGGATTGAAAGTAGCCCCGAATGCAGCCATAATAACCAGGCTTTCCATTCAGGTAAAGACGGTATTTCCAAGATGCGATTGTATCATACAACTTGTAGGTTAGACTAACTATCAAGAATGGGTGAACAAAATGCTGCGGTACATTGAACCTACCCCAGCTATAACACTTTTTGGTACAACGAAATTTGAATGCATCAACTATGTCAATTTTGTAACGGACTTTGTTTAACCTACAAATCTCTCCACCACACAAACAGCCACACATGTCAAGAGAATCACTGACAGCAAAAAACAAACAGAAAAAAACAAACAAAAAAAAAAAACAAAAAAACGGGATCTAGCCTCATCAAGCCCCAAATATTCGTTACAAATGCTTGTGGTTTATATAAGCTGTGGTCCTACTTCATCTAGTGGGGCCCCTTTTAAAGGCCCCACTAAGCCTACTACTGTCTTCACCTATAGAGAACGCTCAGTCATTATTGCTGCATTTGGGGCAAGTTCAGTCCAGATAGAGTGATAATGACCGGGGGTTCTATTCAGCTGAAGACGGTAGCCCTTATTTTAAGGGCCCCCCTGAGCTCCAAAACGACACTGAACACTGGATTCTATGATTGGGGTAGGCAGCATTATCAAGTTGCCCATCTCTATGGGACTTCTTTTTTTACTTCTTTTCAAAAGAGATGTGTTTTACTCATTCGATCCTGTGAGACCCTAGGTCTGTTTATCAACAGTTTAAGAGTGTACCGTTCAGCCACACAGAGGGGGTGTGAAACAAGTTTTTTCAGCTCCCCATTGGCCTTCAATCTAAGTGCCCCCTGAGCCTGCGGCATACGTCCTCCTAAGCCTACAGCATCGTCATAATGTGAGGGAAACTTCAGTCATAACATTGGTACGCTAGCAAAGATCAGGCAGTTGTCTGTCTGTAGACTCTGTACTCTGCTTTGCTGGCGAGCCCCACTCGCAAGATCGTTTTCTCTTCTTTTATTTGATTTTCCTTTGGCCTCCCATCTCACGGCGAGCGCACCACAAAGTGGATTGATGGCGGAAAAACACCTTAATGGTAGAGTATAGCCTTGCCAAGGCTAAGGTTGAGGGTTCACAATTCAAATCCTTTTTTCCGCTCGTCAGCTTCGCTGCCGGGGCAAGAAACGAATGCAGCTGACCCCACCTTGCAATCATTTCTGCAGTGCAGCTCACTGCTATCAACTCTCATTACCCTCTAAATCACCAGTACCCCCTGCACACCACAAGAGGACTCCGCTCTGGAGGTGTTTTCTTTTTCTTTGGTCTGGCGCTGCCAGCCATTTCAGTCTGGTGCAGTGGTTATCTGAAGAACATGGAATGTCAGATTTTTAGCTCTCAAGCTCCCCTGGGCAACCCGGACCATAGCCGCCAGACTAAGCTTGTCTGTATCGTTACAGCTGTCGTTACTTGCGTCACTCCAGGGCATTTAAGCTGGTGGTAGCGGTGCCATTACGGCTGGCAGTATAGCTGGCTGAAGTTGCAGCTGGCATTACAGCAAGCGTGAAACAACCAGCACCTTGCCCAGGGGAGCTTTTATTTTTTTTTACTTTTTAAAAATCTGACATTCCATGTTCTGGCAGTATAGCTGGCCGAAGTTTAAAAAAAAAAAAAAAAAAAAAAGTCAATGCCTGATTTAGAACAACCTTGCGGCGCGTTGTGCTATTCCAGTGATTCTTGATTGAGTTATCTGTTCGCCCGGGAAGTAATTTCGCAATCTCTGCCCACTTGTTGCCAAGCTTGTTGTGTGCTGCCACTAGCTTGAGCTCCTCCTCCTGGGTCCATGCCTCCTGTTAAAAATTCACACACACACACACACACACACACACACACACACACACACACACACACACATGCAAAACAACCATACACAGAATTCGACACGGAGTTTGTAAAGCATAAGCAGTCAACCAAATGTTAAATTTCAAAATTCATATTCATCATTGCATTAAATTCATTACTATTATTTATTTATTTATTTATTTATTTATTTATTTATTTATTTTGGACCATTTCTCGATTTATGTGTGTGATCTTTGCGCAGGGGCCATGCTAATCTTCTGTGTATCATTCCAATTTTAACGGATGTTCACAAAAAAAAATAAAAAACGTTATTTTCTGCAAGGAAGCCACATTGGAGAAATTGAATTCACAAGCACAATCAACCCTCGAGAGCACAATGCTGTGCCCAGGAATGCCTGAGGGAAGTATATACGATGCTGGAAGCTTTTTTTCGCAACCACACTCTATGTCCCTTGCCAACCCTGTCTCCCTACACCCCCTTCCCTTTCCTCCAAGGACCTCCCATCCGTGTGACACCTCTCCCTCTCACTGGCGCCCAGCCCACCTAAGGCAGCCTCTCCTCTGCGTCACTGTCGCCACTGCTACTAGCACTACCCCACTCACCACCCCCATGCAACTCAACCGTTCAAAACCCTCCTCATTGCAAACACCTGCTGCAGAATTAGTTTTCCAATCAAAGACTTTGCCCAAAGCCTTTTTTTTTTTTTTTTTTTTTTTTTTTTTTTTAACACAAGGCTCCAATCTATTCGTGGGGAGCAGCACCTACTGGGAACCGGGCCCAGCGTCCTCCATTTGTTCAATTTTGTTGCCGTCATCTTTTCATGCTCCACTTTCGGCTTTTCTCGCCATCCCGTACCCTGTCTTTTCACCCTCCCAATCTTAATTATCCACTGCTGTCAGACGCATGATCAGGTACAAAAAAGCGCCTCCGATATCTGCAACGTCGTCCCTCCCATCCAATCTGTTCGTCAATTAAAAAATTGTGATTCTCCTTGCAAAACAAATTGCCCTACCCTCCTCTCACCTATGTGATTTCACATTCCCTTTTCCACTTGCAAGAGCGCCCCAAACCCACCGGGTTAGCTCAGTAGATTCAGTTCCCACACCTACGAAGGGTTGAAATGCAGACCTGAGTTGGAATTCCAATGGAATCTGATGAGTGAAGATAACTCTGAATTTGCCCTTCGGGACGCCAGGTAAAATTGGAACGATACACAGAGAGAAGATTAGCATGATGGAACCTGCGCAAGGATGACAAAATGAAAGAAAAGCAAAACTAAACTAATAGCGAGTAGCATAAACAAAGATGAATTAGTAAAAGAAAGATACAAGAACTGGAAGAAAAAAGGAAAATTGGAGATCAATTCGATTTTGGAGTAGAAAATGTAGGAAAAAAGAAAAAAGAACATGACTCTGAATTCACCTGGAGGGAGATCCCACTAACGATGTATGTGGAGTAGGTGTGACGGTTGCGGGACGTGCGGGCGACATCCGTGTGGCATCCTTTATTCCGCACTAAATGTTGAAAAAAAACAAAATGCCGCAATTCTGACAACGCAGTGTTGTCCACCCGCCGCAAACTGCGGTGAGCTGTCAGGTTGTGGATCTTCTGATGATTCCGCTGGTATGTTGTGCATGTGGACGGTTCATGGACCATGTACATAAGGCCAACACACATTTGTTAACGTTCCCCAACGAGAGGCTTGGAATGACAGACAAGCTGTGAAAGACTCTGACATCAACTAACATCCCTTCATGATGAGAAAAGGGGAACATTTTCATTTTCGGCCTCTTTTGAACGCATGGGCAACGACGCAAACGTAAGTGGAAGGCGCGTGAAAATCCAACCAAAAAAAGTTGGTATGATTTTCACGCACGTTCATGACCCCCAGAGGAGCACCACAACAAAAGCAAAAGAAATGCCATCCAATGGGAGCCCCCCAAAAGTCATATGTTTCCCCACGCCGAAAACCAAGAAAAACAACACCACTGATCACCGTTCTCATCAACGGCGCCGAAGGGTCACACGCCCTATCGGCTACTCCACATACATCGGTAGTGGGATCTCCCTCCTGGGGCTAGTGACTTCAAAGACGATATCTCAATGCCATGGCCCTTTTCAAAAAAAGAGAAAGAAACTTAAGAAAGGGGAATTTTTTTCAAAAAAAAAAAAAAAAAGAGTGCCTGAAGCTTTTTGCAATTTCCGCTCACTGGATATGTTGAGTAAGGACATGATGAACATAATTGTCAAAGGACAATTAGGGTTTGCGGAACAAGATTAGCATCAACATGTTCAGGCGTAGTGCAAGGCTTTCAAAAAAAAAAAAAAAAAAAAAAAAAGTTTGCGGAACAGGATTAGCATCAACATGTTCAGGCAAAGTGAAAGGCTTAAAAAAATAAAAATAAAAATAAAAAAAAGGTCAGACATTGGCAGACAACCATGGGTAATTTTGGCGATCGCACAGCCAATCTACTCACCTTTCGAATGTTTGGTTTGAGGTGATTGTGCCACCGCTCTCGACACTGCTTTCCAACTCGGCCAGGTAACCGGGCGGCAATCAAGGACCAATTTTTCGGACCATGCACTTGAACCAGCTGTCGAAGTGTGTCATCTTCTTCCTACAAAGGGTTGATCATGTGTGCAGCAGAAAATCAGCAGCAGAAATACACAGCAGAAACGAGCGGATCACATTTTCCATCAATAAGACCTTCAGAGTCTTCGATTCGATCTGAATTCAGTAGTTTACTATTTAGTGAGTCACACAAACGGCTCCAGATGTCTGAAGTCGCAAACAAATTCAAACAATCACAAATTAATTTAATGGATTGAAGTTCATTGAACCACTGACTGAAATATTCACGTCTCCCCATGTCAAGCTGGCTTGCCAACTGAATGGCAGCTCCTTGCTTGCGGCACACCCAATGTTGAGCGATGGGGCGATAGTACGGCTCATACTATATGGTAATTGCTGATTTCAACTCACAGATACCGGAGCCATATTTTCGCAGAGAAAGAAGCTTCTTCCAACCCTACAATCTTCACCCGAATAGAACCCCGGTCATCTTAGCTGGACTGAAAGTTGCCCCAAATACACAGCTATAATGACCGGCTATTCTATTCACATGGAGCGATGGGGCGATAGTCTGGACTGAAAGTTGCCCAAATACACAGCTATAATGACCGGTTATTCTATTCACATGAAGACGGTAGGGCCTGAAGGGGTTCATCGGTTTTTCTTTCAGGCATCACCAAAAATTTTGAAAGTTCAAACGCGAAATACAAATTAAAAAGCCAATCCCAAAGATTAGACATGCCTTCTCCGACTCCGACAACACTATGGGCAGCTTTCCGCAGGTATGCTCCTTACAAACCTTATTATTATCGTGAGCGGATGCAGGAGCCGACTGCCTGATTATCGTGTTTTAAGATTCACCGACCCCCCACAAATTGGAAACATTACAGACAAGATTAGCATGGCCCCTGTCCAAGTGTTATGTGCCAGGTTGCATGTCATTTCAATCAGTCACAAAAGATGGTAGAGAGAACACAGGGATGAGAAAGAACAACAACAAAAAAAAAAACACAGGGATGAGAAAGAACAAAAAAAAACAAAAACACAAGGATGAGAAAGAACAACAAAAAAAAAAGGCTCCGCAGAAAGATTCAGAAAATTCAGAGAACTTCAAGAAAGAAAAAAAGGTCAAGTGATCGTTTGAGTTCGCAGCTCTTTATTGAAGTTTATTCTCGTGCTACGTTCTTGCCCTGGGCACTGGGCCAGTAATTAAAAAAAAAAAAAAAAGGAGGAAAAACCTCCATCTCTTTTCGGTCAAGGGACAGCCAAATCTTAGCTATGTAGGTAAAGTCGAGAAATCGGTGCAACGACGGGTTTTTATTCAGCTAGAAAGTGGAAAGAATTCAAAGAAACAGCGTCATTTTTTTTTTTGTATTTTTGAATAATATTTCACATCTGGTGATTGGTGCGACAAGGGCCCTGTCCAGCCCTGAACATGAAACCCTTCGTTTGATGTACACAGCACTGCATACTCTTTAAAGCACCACTGCTCCTCCCCCCTTCTCCCCACCCACACGCCAAAAAAACGAAAAACAAGGCACCACTGCCCCTAAAAGGAATACATGAAAGTTTTTGAACCTACTGCTGCAAAGCACGGTAAACGGAAGTGTATGCCTGCCGTGAGGATTTTTTCGATAACCAGAAGCTTTATTTCCTTTTACAATGTTTTTGAAGTTTTCCCCTCGCAAACCGGCCCTCAATTTACTATACTGATTTATTGGCCGCAGTTTTTGCCACATACAAAACGGACAAAAGATTCCGCAGTCGTGAATATTGGTGAAATGCCACCTGTCCACAGCCAGTGAGTAGCCTGTATGCCGGCACAGGCCTCAGTCAACATCGCGGGCAGTGGTGGTTTAGTCATTGTAGCTTCTCCGCAACCGTTGCAGAAACTTGACTAGCCCCCAGCTGCACACTTCCATAAAAAGGGGTGAAAATAGCGACAGTACAAGATGTTCTGATACGACCTTCAGTATGTTGAAGAGGCAGAGGCGGCGCACTTCCATAAACGGGTGAAAATAGGCTCTTCAGTATTTTGAAGAGAAAGCAGAGGAAATAGAGAAAGCACAAAAGAAGCAGGAGGGAGGAGGAAGACGCAAACACTTGACTGATTAACAACACTCTTCCGCTTCATCCACTGTTTGGGAGCAGGCAGAAGCCGAAAACGTTAAAAAAACAATGCAATGAGAATGTGCAGGAGGGAGTCCTTTGGGACATCAGTTAAAATTGGAACGATACACAGAATGGCCCCGGTATCTCAAACTTTCAAAATCCTATGTAAATTTCCATATGGGACGCTGGGCCCGGTTCCCAGGACGTGCTGCTCCCCACAAATAGATTGGAGCCTTGATCCCAAAAAAAAAAAAAAAAATCAAAAAAAAAAAAAAAAAAGGGGAAGGCCATGTCCCTGGGGACATCCGTTAAAATTGGAACGATACAGAGAAGGAAGATTAGCATGGATGGCCCCTGCGCAAGGACGAGAAAGGGTCCAAAAAAGACTCCAAAAAAAAAAAAAAAAAAAAAAAAGATGAAGAAGAAGAATGTGCAGGAGGAGGGATATGGTGCCTGTCATGTGGCTCATCGGTACACACAGGTCACTGTCGATACACAGATAAATAATAAATTGGTTCAAAATTCAAATCATGCCGAACATGTTAGAAGTTGGGGGCTACCCCTTTTTACAGTGATTCAGTCATTTCATCTCTTTTTTTATTTTTCCCAGGTAATTCAAAAGAGTTCTTTTATTCGTCTAGGACCATTTGGATTCGAACTCAGGTATGCATTTCCAGTTCATGGGTGTACCAACTGAGCTAGGCCCGTCGGTTCATTCATTTCGTCGTGCTCATCAACCAAATGAATAATACATTACTCGGATGACCAGATACATAACTGAGTTACTGAATGATACTTTTGAGGAGCAGGAATCATGGAGTGAAATGCTCACCGTAGTCCATTGGCCCTTTACGACTCCTGCACTTGTGATAACACCGACCTCTGTTCGTCGTTGAGCTCCTGCTTTCTTCTCTGAAGAGCCATCATCATCCCACTTCCCAAGGCCATCATCTTCGCTACTGCCTCCTCCCGCTTCCCCCCCAGATGGGTGGGTGTGCCTGTCCTCTCCTGTTTCGCCAACTCCATCCTCCAGGCAAGCATCGTCCACATCCATGCTGCCAGCCTGCTGCCCATCAACTGTCCCTACTTCCTCAGATGTCCCCTTCCAGGAAGCGGGACCAACGAGTTCAGTTGCACTGGGACAATCCGCCGCTCCAAGCACCTCCGACAAGCAGAAATCGCCACCATCATCATCAACTCCCTTCATCATTACGTCATTTGTGCTTTCAATTTCGTCCAGGATCGACATGTTTTCAAACAGCACCCCCTCATTGCCGGGATCCCTAACGTCTTGAGCAAACTGCCCCCTATGCATCAAACCTAAGGATCTTCCCCAGCCCAACACGCTTCCAAATCTTCCGCGGCCAAAATCACGCCCTCATCTGCCTCCCGCCTTCGCTCACCCGTTCACACCAAGAGGTTGTGTAATTGGTCCCCAAAATTCTCTATTCGACAATATTAAGCAGCAATATCTCCTCTTGAAATCGGAGCCAAATCAATGATTTTTACACCCGATTAGACAATACCATCTCGCTTGGTTGATGGCGAAGTCTTCCCTTGTCCCAGTGATTCTCTCTTTCCTGCTACCCTCTTCCTCCTGCTGATCAAGACGGATGGTTCACAAGAGAAAGGACAGAAACAGCTGAAAGATTTTAGTATCACATTTTCTTGTTCCAACCAATATTCCAATCGCACCCCCCACCAAGACAGGATGTTAATGAAAGAGACAGGCTGAACGACTTTACAGTCTCGTTTCCTTGTTTCCACCAATGCTCCAATCCCTCCCTTGTTTCGACCAAAATGTTCCAATGGCAATTGCCGGCCGAGACATAAGAGTACACGCTAAAGTGTGCAAATAACAGGTTGATGGACTTTGGAATCGGATCGCATTCTTTCTATGTTCAGGAGGTTACTGCGCAGCAAGACGGACGGTTTTCAAAAAGAGAGAGGATAAAACAAGTTGTTTTGACACTTTGCAGTTTCGCTTCAACCAATGTTCCAATCTTAGTTACTTTCATGAATATACAATAACACATCCATATATGGGAACCAAAGCAAAACGAACTATGCTCCGCATTTGAAAAGCAGCAGGTTGAGCCACCTGCAACCCGCTCAAGAAGTACAAAGGAGATTACCAGCCTTGCCTAATAGAGGTAGCAGCACCCAACACCTGGAGAACAATTTGCGGTTCCAACGTTGGTGTGCATGCACTCGCCGCGAGACCAAAAATGTGCACAATAGCTATTCATTCAGATCGCCAAAAACTCAATTTGGTTCACCGAAGTTCAGAATTCAAATCGTCAACACACTATGCTCACCCATGAACAGTACCTGGCTGGACACAGTGTGGCACACACTTGGAATTGTTGAGCGAGCAAGTGTGAGACGCATAGAGCAAGAAACTTGCTAAGACAAGAGGAGGCGCAGAAGGAGAGGAAACATTGAGGGGCGATGGGAGAGAGAGAGAGAGAGAGAGAGAGAGAGAGAGAGAGAGAGAGAGAGAGAGAGAGAGAGAGAGAGAGAGAGAGAGAGAGAGAGAGACATAAACACCCAAAGCCAGATAAATGGCAAAGAATATTGACCAATCGACGATCCCTCCAGATTGTCAGTGGTCCAAAGAATTCAGATGTTCATACAACAGTGTTTCCAAGTAAGAAAACAGATGCAAACTGTGGCTGTGTCAAACAGCAGCAAGATATTGGTTCAAATACTCAGAAAACAAAAGATTTCAGGACAAATTCCGTTACTCCTGTGGAGCTTAAACCATCAGGACCTCTGAACCTCTTTTGGCTGATGGGTATTAAAGCTGCACATCGAAAAAGAAAGAATCAGTGCAGTGCAAAGGTTATATCCTTCCTGTGCCAATAAGAATTATGATCCCGATGGACCACGCAGATATACTTGCATTTAACAATGCAAAAAAACCGTGGCATTTTCTGCTACTGCTCCTTTGCGGCTCCCCTGGCGGGCCTGAGTCGTATTATACACTTATTGTGGTCTTCATGTCGTCTTACGTTATTGCAAAGAATTCTCTGTTTGGCTGGTGCCATCAGCCAAACAAATCCGGTAGGGCGGGCCCGAAGTGGCACGTATACCGTCGCCTAGGAAGAAAATAGCCGGGGAAACATATTGGGGGTTTAAAAGAGCCCCCCTTGCCTCTAACAGACTTTTTGTCAGTCAATACCCTTCCACACCTAGACATGTTCAGATTTTTCGGAATCATTATGCTCCTATGACGTAGTCACTTTGCTTTAATTGCTTCGCTTACTTGTCACCCTTCATGCTTTTTCAACTGCCTCACCATGTCTGCCATTGCCGCTCTGACACGCCTTGAAATTCTTCCAAAAACAAACCCCACTATAAGACTACCCACGGCTAAAGATTCTTCTAAATATGAAACCTTCACAACCACCTGTACAAATATGCCCTCCTCAAATTCTCTCCCTCTCTCTCTCTCTCTCTCTCTCTCTCTCTCTCTCTCACACACACACACACACACACACACACACAGAGCAGGAGATGTTACCCCTCTATCAGCCAAAAGAAGTGCGCGACACATGGACTATGTAAATCTATGCATTAAGCCTACACGTATAAGCACACATTTTGGCTATGGGGATATGCAGCAGAGGTATAGAGTTGTAAACACGGAAAGTGGGAGTGGGCCAGATGCACACACACGGAGGCAACATGAAAAAAAGGCGGTATTCAAGAATGGTGTCCTTCCAGTTCCAATCCTCTAATCGGGAAAACATAAGATCCATCTGCAGAGTTACATTTGTTCTGATTAGGAGAAGAATAACACGTAGGAACGTCAATGAAGTTCTCCTTTTGTCTATAGCATCGCTTCCACCACCGACCAACCACCTTCAGCCAGCATCATACAGACTAGCATCCAGCGTCATGTAAAGGATTCTCCCCGAGCCACTCTGGCCTCCAGGCATGGCGCCAGACCATTGTTACACCAACCTGGGACCCAGACACCACCAGGGGAGGGTCCTAAAAAAGGCACCCAGTGTTTTCAGCTGCTTTTTCAAAATCAGCTGAGGAAAGATCCCGAACGCCCACGCGTTAGTTGAAGATGCTGTGTTACATACTTCAATGAGTATGGGCAGAACCAAAGATCAACCAATGTAGGATGAGCATATATGCAGCGGAAGTCTGATTAACGGACTGACTCACATAGACTGACTCACATAGCATCACTCCACACACATACAATCGTGAGATGGTGGGGTCTGGGCCAAGCATAGACGATGCCCAGATCCCGTACACACATACACAGATGAAGGTGGGAGGAGAGACGAAGGAGGTGGGGAGGTAGACAGCACCGATAGGTCACCGAGATAGAATCCGATAGGTCACCGATATGGTAGTCCAAAATGTCATCCAACAAGATCAAAATGTCGAGGACAATCGGTCACCAATGTCGGAGATACAGAAACCAAAAGTAACCGGTGTCCGAACTGTGATGCCGCCGAGTATCAACCCCAACAATCTCCAAGTCTCCAATCCGGTAAGTACCACAGTCTCATACCACCGATGTCCAACACTGATCTCTGTCCAACTAGTATAAGTTTCCAATCTGAAGAAGAAGAAGAAGAAGAAGAAGAAGAAGAAGAAGAAGAAGAAGAAGAAGAAGAAGAAGGAGAAGAAGAAGAAGAAGAAGAAGAAGGAGAAGGATCCGAGGAGGAGAGAGAGAGAGAGGGGACTGGCGATGGGAGGGAGGAGAGAAAACTCCAACTCCCAATACCTCAGGCGCTATGGCCGCCGGTAACCCAGTCGCCGCTGCTGCTGCTCCGCTGGCTGCTCCTGCGCTAATCCGCGCTGCGCTGCKCCTCGCTGCTCYTGCGCTAATCTTAGCGCCAGCGCTGTATCGCGCTGTACCATACCGTACCGGTAGAATGCCGGTAGGTCGATGGCCTCGAAGTGAGGCCGGACCAGTACTAAGTACTGGTTCGAAGAGGACCGGCCTCAATGCTGCGAGGCCCTGGTTGGGGCTGAACCGTCCAGATCGACGATTCAGGTCCAACCGGAGAGCGGCAGCCTCAAATGGCGCCGCCAGGCCCAAAACGAAATGTCGTTTGGGCCTGGTCCATAATCTGGTCCAAGTCGTGGCCTTTCGGCCTGTTACCCCCCAGGGTCGGGCCTTTAGGCCTTGATGTGTCCCTCTAGCCCTAAGTCGGGTCCGGTAGGACCCGTGTGGCTTCGAAGATGTGACACACTACCCCTCTTAAAAGACCGAGCTACCTGCGAGGGCGGAGTTGTCTGTCCGATACCGGGATGGGTCGGGTGGGACGAGCTGCTGCCTTGGCAAGTCGTGTCTTCTCATAGTTGGCGAAGATGAGGGGTGCAGAAGTCTGCAAGTCTGCACTAGAGATCCACCGAGTGTCGTCAGGCGCACATTGCTTGAATGTGACTTTGTACTGCCTTGGCTTGTTGCCATACTTGCGGTGCGTGATGACTCGGTCCACTTCCTGATGTCCGTC